TTTACTGCCAGTTATAAGCTAAGAAATCCCAGATTTCTATTCTCTAGCCTCAACCTTTCCACTCAGCTCCAGTTCGAAGCATTCAACTACCTACTCAATATTTGCACGAGTGTATGTCACGTAAGTGTCTTAAACTTAACATGGCCAAAAGTGAACTCATGATTCCATCCACCTCTGACTCTTCTATGCAAAGGCAACTCCACACACTCATTTGCTTCGGCTAAAAACCAAGAAGTCATCAATGATGTCCCTCTTCTTCTATTATGTCACACCCAATCCATTAGCAAATTCTGTCAGCTCTATCTCAAATACATCTTGACTTGGACCTTTCCTCAGAACCATTACCATTGCCACTTTAGTCCAACTTGCCGCTGTCCTTCTCTTGGGCTGCTACAATGCCCCCCTCACCAGTCTTCAATTTCCCTTCTTGTCTCTCTCCATAGTCTATTCACTATAGAGAGGCCAGAAAGATCACCTACAATTGTTTAAGTCACTCTATATTCAATACCCTCTCCAAACTTCCCATTACACTTAAAACAAAATTAAAAATGCTTATTGTGGTCTACAGGTCCCTCTTGGTCTGGTCCCTACCTGTCACTCTGCAGTCAATTCCTGTCCCTTCTCTCTTGCTCACACTGCTCTCAACCCACCAGCCTTCCTGATGTGCTTATGACGATTGCAAGGTCACTGCACTTGACCTTCCGTCTGCCTGGAACACTCTTCCCTCAGGTATTCACACAGCCTACTCTGATTTCACTCTAGTTTCTGCTCAGATGTCATCTCCACAGAGGACTTCTCTATCTTCTCTAAAACAAGACTCTTGCTTTATTTTTCTTTGTAGCATTTGTTATCACTTGATATTCATTTATGTATTTATTGTCTGTGGCCTACATTTGAATATAAGTAAGAAGGCAGAGAAAATTTGTCTTTTCCCCCAGTTCTTGGGATAGAGCATGGCACATATTAGGTATCAATCATTATTCATTAAGATTGTGTATAATTATTATAATGGAGCAAAGGAGAAAGAATAAGTTAGGAGATTAGAAGAGAAAATCACATTTGATCAATGACCAAAATAAAAATGCCCATAACACAAGGCATTAAAATTATGACTTTTTAAATTGAGCTTTACTACAGCAAATCAAATTTCCTGATATCAAAGCATCAGTGTGGGGAAAATATAATAAAATTGAATCATGCTGTTTTTTCTTTTAATATGGATTACACCATCAACAAGAAATCATACGTCTAACTTATAGGTAAATAGAGTTTTTTGAGCATGAAATGATTTGAGAACACGTTTTTCAAAAGAATGCATTCAAATGATTGTTTATTTCAGATAAACTATGAGTTATAAAGCATTCCTCAGTGAGCACATATGTAAAGCAAATGTCCATGCGTTACCTTGCTTTTCAAAAACTGTGACGTTAAGTCTCGTTGCTGCTCTACTTCACTGCGTACGTGATTGCAGAAAGCCACAGAGTACTGGCGACTGTAGAACGGGCTGAAATTTTTGATAGCTGCCTCAGTTTTCCCTGGGGGAAAAAAAATGGAAATTAGAATTTAGAAAAGGAGCATTCTTGCAGAATAGACACACATCTGCATAATTCTATAAACACCCTCTAGTCTCCCCAACACCGTTTTCCCACAAATGTATGAGCCCACCTGCCCACATAAGCCTTTACCTCTCCCTCTCCTTCTGACATCATCCCGAGGGACCCTGCTGTCCCTACGGACCACCCATCCAGTAACCAATAGAATTTTATGTCATTTTACATCAACAAGCCATTGCCATGGCCAGAAACTCAATCATCCTTCTAATCCTTCCACAACCATTGTTCTACCTCATCACCCTGTTCTCCACTTCCACTCACTCTTCATTCTACATCCAGTCATTCAACGCCTACCCAGCAATAATCCCAGGGTCCACCTTTTCCGCTCTGTACACACATCACCCCATTTGCCTTCAGATCGCTAAGGCTTCTCGCCTTGTCTTGCTGATCCACAGCCCTGGATAAAAAAAAAACTTTAAAAAAAAATGGCTTCTTCTAGTTCTACCCATAAGTTTTGGGTTTCAAATTTGTTGACATTCAAACCATTATGGAGTTGCCAGGAGGTAGAGGGAAAAGCTTTGTTTTAAGCATCTAAAGACCTGAGTTCTGGTCCCAACTCGAGCCATGCTTTCTCTCCAGGCTCCAAGGTGTCTAACTGTGAAGGAAGGTGCTCATGAGACCATGCTTTCCTTGGAATCTGTGTGTCATTGAAGTATCGCCATGGAAGTACAGCTGCCTCGTAAGAATGGCCAACAATTGCAATATGCGCTGTCAGTATCAGGAGAAAAGAGTCCTTGAGACAGCTCAAGGACTTGATATGGAGGGAGAGGGAAGACTCAGGCCCTGGGGATATTCTTGAGCTTTTGCAATCCATACTTAGCTTTAGAGAGTAGGGTAGTTGCAAAGAAAGGAAAGGAGAAGGAGGAATAGAGGAGAAAGAGAAAAGGAGAATTCTGAAGCAGACTGGAAATCGTCACAACCTTCTGAGGACTTTGTGCTACAAAGCACAGAAATAAGTACAGGTTCCCATGGACTGTGCTTACAAGCTCTTAGTCCTTGGAGTAAGATATTAGCTTGAGAAAAAATAAACCTGATATAACATTCCAAACTATTTTTAAATACTGTCGTGTGAACTTGGCATACTTTTTGTTTTCAAATTTGATATTACAGTCTGCAAAGAAATATTAAATAAAAATATAACACACTGGCAAGATTTGTTTAGAGCTATTATGCATGCAAAATTTCAAAAATAAGTGAGGAGTTCTAACCACACCGATTGAGATACTCAATGCAAGAACCTTGAATCCATGGCTGCCTGCTTCTAACCTACAGAATCACAGCCCCAAACACCCATGGTGTATGAAGAGTCTCTTTATGGAGAAGCCTACTTAAGCTCAGGCATTTTGGTCTCATGGTATGTATGAGGCAATGGGGAATTCTTGGTTATTCCCTCAGTACAATAACATTGTCTGGTCATATTTATGGGCTTTAATAATTATTACTTGTAAAGTGCTTTGAGACACACTAATAATAACTTCTGTGAAAATGCAAATGAAAGCGCCCATGAGTTGAATCAGGCATGCTTTTTCTTGATCTGTGAGTTTATGGTATTACTACTAATCAATATTTGCATAACACTTTAATGCTCCCAGGCTTTATAACTGTCTAATTGGCTATTATTTTTATTAGCTTTTATGTAGCACATAAAAAAGACAATTCTACATCTTGCTCTATAATTTTCTTACCTACGAGTGGGACGTCTTTGAGAATTCCCACAATGACAATGAACCTCACCCTACTGAAACATATAAACGATCACCAAGATTTGCCCTTTAGGTCCAAGTAACCACTCTTTAGCCTAACAGAAAAGCAGCCTATTAATTTTTGATGCTTATTTTTGCACTCTTGCAGGAACTTGGATTTAAATGAAAGGAGGTGGATGCCATTTTATGATGGGCTCTACAAAGCCTTGAAACCTGATTTCCGGCCACATCACTAAGCTTCCCTCAAGGACGCCCAGCTCCTACTGAGGTGCTACTATGCCACCACTCCTTCCCAATGTATGAGAAAAATGCTTCTGTGATTTGAATATTGCATATGGTATCATGAATGCATCATCCACCAGGCAACACATAAAAAGGGGATTAAAGCTTCTTTGGGTAATTAACCTAATGACTGGTTCAAAATGTGAATAAAACAGCTAACAACATCACAAGTTCTCGGGGAAAGAGAACCTAAAGCAAATCCCAAAATGTATCGAGAGTTTAGATGAAGCCTATCGAAACCCAAATAAAGGAAAGAAAGCCCACTGTAGGGATCTTGACCCCTTGAGAAAAGCCTAGTGTTGGGACAACATACCACTGTGTTTAGGAAGATGGACTCTAGAGTCAGACAGACATGGGTTTGAGTCCCATCTCTGCTAATTACCAGCCGTGGGACCTCATGCCAGCTGCTTCCTCTCGTATAAAATGAAGACAAGAGGAGCAATCTCATAGTGTTATTGTAATTACATAAACTAATGCAGTAAAGTGCTTAACATTGTAGCTGGCACATAGAAAGTTTCCAATAATCCATAGTAATTAAATTGATGATGATAATGGGGACGATGGAGCACCCAAGCCAACTACCAAGGGAATGTCCTTAAGCTGAACTACGGAATCAAGGAGAAGCCAAAAATAGGCTGTCTATTGTGATTCTTTAACTGGGGCCATCACGCCCACACAGAACAGCGGTCCCACTCATGGCAGATTCGCAACAAATATAACCGACAGTTTCACAGATGTTTCAGGAACACTTATCAGCACATAGGAGGCCCTCGGGGCATCCCTGAATGAAAACCAACTAAATGAAACTCTGGCATTAATGAGCCAAAGCAAACACATGAGTTCACAGCTGTGTTATATTGAGCCTCTCTGAGCCTCAATTTTCTCACCTGTAAAATGGAGATAATAAGACACCCATTTCACAGGGCTTTCTCTGGATTAAATGAGATAGTCTGCAGGTAGAAAAAAATGCCAAGAGCAATGCCTGATATATTGCTTGCTCAATACATTTTGACTGTCATTTAATATTCCACCAAGAAAGCATTCAAATAAAGTGGGTCAGCCCCATGGGTGCGACCATAAAATAACTTCAGCTGAAACCAGCTTGTTTCCACAGGTTTCAAGATTCTTCAGTATTGAATTGCTTTCATTCCCCACTGAATCCTCCAATTTAGTATCATATTCCCTTTCCTACATTGTTTGTAAAACAGTGCCAGGACTTTCACTAAAAGTAAGTTACTCAATAATACAAAGACTAGAACCAATGGAAGGGCTTCTTACACATTTTGTTACACCAGCATTTCTGGCACATATTTCTTCTCATCCTGCTCAATTATTGCCGCCTGCACTGGACATAGTGTTGGTACAATTTTTTTTGACCAGGTTGCACATAACACGCTTCAGGGACATCATCGCTGAAGCTAATAGAAGCTTCCTTGACAGCTCTGTCCACAACACTTAGCTTCCATTCAAATTTGTAAGCGTTAAGAAAAGTATCTTCTGGACCTTTTAAAACCATGTGAATTCATATAGGCTAAAAAACTCAGCCCTGTTATTGGATTCCTTCTCCCTCGTGCTTATATTCAATCGTCAGATCTCGTCACTTCTATTTGCACAGTATTTCTTGAATTCACCTCTTCCCCCCCATCCCAACCACCACACCTTTAATCAAGTCTTTATTCTCTCTTTAATGACCTTGTAAAAGTCTCTTCATCTGCCCTATCTCAGCATTCCAGCGGAGCCAAAAAAAAATCTTACTAGCTCTCAGCTCTAGAAGAGGACCAGAAAAGTCAGCACCAGAGTGGGAGAAAGGCATGCCAGAGCTAATACCCAGATCCTGCAGGACTATGGGAAACAGCCAAAGCTTGGTCTGTGTGGCCGAGGCAGGTTGTGGGAAGTGGACAGAGTGAGTCCAGAGCTGACGGGCAGGACAGGAGGGGCTGAATCCAAGCTGGTTTCCATGGTCCCACTCAAGAGAATGCTGGCACAAGTTTCAAGGCCTGGATGTTAGAGTGGGCAACCATCCTTCAGAACCATTCATGCTCCTAGGGAACTCTTTTGAAAACCATAAGAGGTACACCTCAAATCGTAGAGGCACAATCCTCTGTGCCCTGGCCTTACAAGCTTCACTTGATATGTTGCTTCAAGACTGTGTCACGACCTTCATAAAAACCTTCAACAGTTCCCTACTGCCTAGAGTAATAACCACTTAGCCTAGCACCAAAGTCCTGGGATCTGGCCTCAAGCATCCTTATTTCCCACCTCTCCTGCTCAAACAATGCCTCCTTGGCCTCCGTACTTGCCCATGCCTTCACACCTCCTTCTCTCCCTAAATGCCCTGCCAGCCACTCTCAGACCCTTCAAGCCCAGATGGCAATCCCAACCCAAGAAGGAGCCTTTTGGGCTCTCCCCAGCTGAAAACCATCTTATCTTCTTTTGCATTCTACCCAAACTGTGCACCACTTTTCCTACAGCTGTTTAAATACAGCTTATCTCTCCTCCAAGGGTATACTGTATTTATGTACGCCACGAATATTTGTTGAATGAATGAAAGAATGGCTGTGTAAATATTTAAGAGTAAAGCAAAGTACAATGCATCATAATCATGAAACCCATGTCAATACTCCAAGAAAGGAGAAAGGCACAGAAGGCTGAGAAGCTTGAATATTTGTTATTCAAAATATATCCTCTCCAAGCTCAACTCATTTGGGTTTTTTTTTTTTTAAAAAAAGCAGACTCTTAATCTGATGAATTCCTTTTATGCTTTAAATGAATTTTGTCTTTGAAATTATATGTGGGGAATTATTTACAAACAAAAGCTTTTCTTTGTTTTTCTTGTAAATGCAGTCTGTAAACACAGAAAATATATAAGGGTTTAGGGTAAAACTTATATGAAGTGTGAAGAGCCTAAAAGGTTTGCATATTTTCTCATTCTAGAAG